CTGCAGTTTATTGGAAGAGTTTGAGCAGGATGTGTTAGCTCTTTTTTAAATGCTTGATAGAATTTCCCTGTGAAGCCATCTGGTCCTGGGCTTTTGTTTGTTGGAAGATTTTAAATTACACTTTCAATCTCATTACTTGTGATTGGTCTGTTTATATTTTCTATTTCTTTCTAGTTCTGTCTTAGAAAGTTGTTTTGTACATTTCTTCCAGGTTATCCAATATAGTTGCTATGATCTTTGCATTTCTGCAGTGTCAGTTGTAATTTCTTCTTTTTCATTTCTAATTTTATCGATTTGAATCCTTTTTTTCTTGATTCTGGCTAAAGGTTTATAAATTTTATCTCCTCAAAGAACCAAGTTTTAGTTTTATTTATCTTTGATATTATTTTCTTTTTCTCTATTTCATTTATTTCTGCTCTAATCTTTATGATTTCTTTCCTTCTAGTAACTTTGGGGTTTGCTTTTGTTTTTTCTCCAGTTGCTTTAGGTGTGAGGTTATATTGTTTATTTGAGATTTTTCCTGTTTCTTGAGGTGAGATTAAATTGTTGTTAACTTCCTTCTTAGGACTGCTTTTTCCTGTTGGCTCAGACAATAAAGAATCTTCCAGCAATGCAGGAGGCCTAGGTTTGATCCCTCGGTTGGGAAGATCCCCTGGAGAAGGGAATGGCTACCCACTCCAGTATTCTTTCTTGGATGATTCCATGGACAGAGGAGCCTGGTGGGCTACAGTCCATGGGGTTGCAAACAACTGAACATGACTGAGCAACTAACACAGCAATATACAGAGTTTGGATTGTTGTGCTTTCATTGTCATTTGTTTCTATATATTTTTAAATTTCCTCTTTGATTTCTTCAGTGATCTCTTGATTATTGAGTACTGTTTAACCCCCATGTGTTTGCGTTTTTTAGTTTTCTTTTTCTTGTGATTGATTTCTAATCGCCTAGCATTGTGAATGGAAAAGATGCTTGATATGATTTCAATTTTTTTACATTTACCAAGGCTTGATTTGTGGTCAAAGGTGGGATCTCTCTTGGAGAATGTTCCATGTTCATTCTATTGCTTGAGAAGAAAGTCTATTCTGCTTTTAGGTGGAATTTCCTATAAATATCAATCTAGTGTGGACTACTGTGTCATTTAAAGTTTTTATTTCCTTATTTTCTTTCTGCATCTGTCCATTGGTATAAATATGGTGTTGATGTCCCCTACTATTATTGTGTTACTGTTGATTTCCCCTTTTATGGCTGTTAGCATTTGCTTTATGTATCGTGGTGCTTCTATATTGGGTATATAAATATTTATCATTGTTATATCTTCTTAGATCAATCCCTTGATTATTATGTAGTGATCTTCCTTGTCTCTTATAAAGTCATTATTTTAAAGTCTATTTCATCTGTTGAGTATTGGTCCAGCTTTCTTTTTCTATCTGCAAGGAGTATCTTTTCTATTTCTTCACTTTGTCTGTATGTGTCCTAGGTCTGAAGTGGGTTTCTTATAGACAATATAACATATATATAGGTCTTGTTTTTGTACCCATTCAGCTAGTCTGTGTCTTTTGGTTAGATACATTTAAATCCATTTATATTCAAGGTAAATATCAATATTTTGTCTTTAATTTTTGTCAGTTTGATTCCTATGTATTTTGGCATATCTCTCTGGGTTTATTCTACCTGGGACTTCTGTGCTTCCTGGACTTAGGTGACTGTTTCTTTTCCCAGGATAGGGAAGTTTTCAGCTACTGTCTCTTCAAATATTTTCTCAAGTCCTTTCTCTTCTCCATCTGGGACCCCTATAATGTGAATGTTGGTGCATTTAATTTTGTTCTGGAGGTCTCTTAGATTGTCCTAATTTCTTTTTATTCTTTTATTCTGTCCCACAGCAGTGATTTCTACCATTCTGTCTTCCTGCTCATTTATTCATTTTTTCTGCCTCAGTTATTCTACTGATTCCTTCTATTGTATTTTTCATTTCAGTTATTGTATTGTTCTTCTGTTTTAGGTCTTTGTCAAACATTTCTTTTATCTTAGTGTGTGCTTCCATTCTTTTCCTGAGATCCCTGGATCATCTTTACTAACGTTACTCTGAATTGCTTTTGGGTAGATCTCCCCTTCACTTAGTTGTTGTTCTGGGGTTTTATCCGTTCCTTTGTCTAGGGTGTATTCCTCCCTCTGGCATCTCATTTTGTGTAGCTTTCTGTGATTGCAGTGTCTATTCTGAAAGATGCAAGGTTGTAGTTCTTGTTTCTGCAATCTACCCCCTGGTGAATAAGGCTGGTCTTAGAGGCTTGTGCAGGTTTCCTAGTGGGAGGGACTGCTTCCTGCCCACTGCTGGGTGGAGCTGGGTTTTATCCCTCTGGTGGACAGGGTCATGTCACGGGATATGTTGAGCAGGCAGCTGTGTGTTCAGGAGACTTCCTACTGAGGAGGGCTGCGCTTCCACCCTGTTGGTTGTTTGGCACCCCAGCTGTGGAGCCTACAGGCTGTTGGGTGGGGCTAGGTTTTCATGAAAAAATGGCAGCCTCCAGGAGGGCTCACACCAATGAGTACTCCTCAGAACTACCGCTGCCCGTGTCTTTGTCCCCACAGTGAGCCACAGCTGCCCCTTACGGCTCCTCCTATTGCCAGAACCCCAGGCTGGGAGCCTAACGTGTGGTTCTGAGGTCTCTTGTGGGAGAACCTGTGTGATATAATTATTTTCTAGTTTGTGGGACATCCACCCAGTGGGTATTGGTTTGATTTTATTACGACTGTGCCCCTTCTACCACTCCAATGGGGCTTCTTCCCTTTTCACTGGATGTAGGATATCTTTTGTGGTAGGTTCTGGTGGGTTGATGACTGTTTAACAGTTCATTGTGATTTTCACTTTTCATACAAAGAAGTGAGCTCATATTCTTCCACTCTACCATCTTGTCTCCGCCCCCTTAGCCAGGTTGAACAACCTTTTTTCTTCCTGCAGGGCAGTTCTTGGTAAATAACGTAACTTTTAAGTCTATGGTCTCTTATTTTCCACATATTCTTGACTCCTATGTCTAGGATAGGTGTCCCTCTGAGAGACTCCTATGCCTTCCAGTACTTTCTGTGCGGATCACAAAATATGCTAATGATTTGTGGCCTCGCCTGTAACATTTTCCAGGCCCCACAATTTGAGGGCAGAGCCCTGGACATCCTGGTCATTGTCAGATACCCAGCCCTTAGCTCTTGCTTAGTCATGGCAACTAATTCGGGACTGGGTATAGCACTGCTTCATTCTTACTCAGTTCTCACAGTAATTCTAAAGGGTAGGTACTAGTATTATTCCAGTTACGTGCATATAAGCTAAGTGGTAGGTAGATCAGGACCTGGAACTATGAGCAGTTACTGCATGTTAATAGTTCTGAAGTCAAGCCAAACAGTAGCCTGTTTTCCCTCTCAGAACATGTAAAAGTAACAACCATCTCTGAACAAAATACATGAATGAGAGTTGGCAAGAAACTCATCCTGTGCTGTGCCCTCCTGGACACCAGTGTATGCTTTCTATCTGCCCAGGGTGATGGTGCCAACCAAGGATGATTCCCTACAAGATGGTACTGAGTAGAAGCCAGGAGTTCAAACTTAAACTTAGGTCCTCCTGATTTAAAATCCCATTTGCTGCCATCTTCTAACTCTGTGACTGGGCAATATTATTCAACCTCTTTATGCCATGCCTTCCTCATCCATAAAACAGGGATAATTCCACTTCTCTGACAAGGCTGGTGTGCAGATTAACATTTCTGAGACATTAGCTCATTTAATGCAGTGTCTGCACCCAGCAAACATACACTGATTACTTACTATTGCTGTTATAATGATCAATAACTCATTTGACCATTCTGACCCAGTTTTGTGTAGAATTAGCCTATGATCAAAACTTTTTCTGGAAAACAGATTTTACATCCTCTTTCCTATTTACAATCTCTTGAAACAAATTTCAGCAAAGTTTATTGAATTTGTTTGGCTTTCATAGAAAGTGTTTTTCATTTTTAGTCATAATGCTCCAAGATTGGGATTTTATCACAAAAGGCAGAAGCTATACCTGCAGCTGAATAATGGTGTAAACAAGTAATAAAAATAACTATCCCCTAAAAACAAATATCTAGTAGAGAATAGCAAACCAGCTTTGTAAAATCCCCCATCTTTTTTCTGTCTTAGAAATATCATCTTTCTCTGTGAACTAGATCACATCCTCTATTATTTATATTATTATTTCCCTGGTAGTTTGAAAGAAAACACTTGTTCTCTCTTTTCTAGTTTCTACACAACAATTAATTAAAAGTACTGGAGTGGAAAATTTATTAAGAACCTTTTAGTGCTGTGCCACACGGCCATGGCAGTATGAGAAACCCAAAACTTACTATTTAAGGTATTAAAATGATTCTCCATAGAAGAAAGGGTTAAAAACCCAACAGCTTTAGGGCATTTTGGATAAGCAGTAATATTTATAGAAAAAATATTAACATGCCAAGTCAAGGTACTATATGAACTATTTCAAGTAAAACTATAACTATGACTTTGAATTATATAGGGAACTATAATTTCTTATTATGAACAAGAAAAAAAAAGCTAACTTAATTATCTTTTTTGTCCCCAGAAAGTCTAGTAAATAATTCTGTAATTCATAATTTCTACTAATTAGTTTAAGACTGCTCAGGATTTTTCCAAATTAGTAAAGTTTTACACTAAAAATAAGTTCATTTTTCTTAGAGTGAATTTAAACAGAATTCAATGGTGAAGTATAGCGACAGAATTATGCTTTTAATGTAGTTAGGAACAAAAGGTAATTTTCTTCCACTATTGGAAAAGCTTAATCATGATAGTGAATAAGGCCATTTCCTTCTTATTTTCGGAGAAAATCCCTACTCTCCTGGGTCAATGGAACACAACCCTAAGACCTAGACAAAGATTTTGAATTTCTGGGGAGAAAAATGACAGTGTTCAAGTTATGCGTTTATAGTTTCATACATTTTTTTGTGTGAAGTCCACTTACCAGCTTTCCTCTTTGCTGCGCAGACCTGGTCTCTCTCAAGGTATACACGTCTCCACAGACAGAGATCTCACGCCAGACCCCAGGCTGGGACTCCTCAGTAAAGCCACCTCTCGGATGCATCACCAGCACGCCATTCGTTGTGAGCCCATCCATGTGGCCGTCAGGATTTTTCCACTTTGCTGCCTTTTCCTGGAAAGCATACCACAGAAAAGATGCTGTTCAACACAAAAAGGTTCTAGAATCTCTCCAAAATATTGGGTAAGGGCAGAGGGGAGGAAAGTGAGAAATTTTCATTCTCTATTTAAAGCTAATAATCAGAAGGATAAAATATGCAATTAGTCTGAGAAAATGAAAGAAGTATAAGAATAGATGAATGATTTATCATTGGAGACAGAGTATATTTATCTTGGGCTTTTACAAAAGAAAACCTAATGTCTGGGCCTCTACCTCAGAGATTCTTTTTCGAACCACATTCCCCCTACCCCCAAGTGATTTCAGGAATCCAGTATGTATTCTTCAATTCTATTTGTGCAGTGCTTTCATCCTATTATCTAAAAATGTTTTGTATGAACTCATTATCAGGTAAGTACTAGAAGGAAGTGAAAATTTTTCATTCAACAAACAAAATTTCAAAATACATTAGGCCAACAGATTGTGGCCACTATGTTTTGTTTTCATACGGATCAGTGTTTGCATCATCAAAGGTGGAAGGCACAAGTGACTGGATATAATGGCAGATTGGACACCTGGCCATTTTTTCTTGAAGACAGAGCCAGATAGTGTTCACAGGACGTGGGTAAATCTGATTAAGGTAAGCCACTTATGACTGGTTTAGGGGTGGGCATATGACTGAGTTCTGGCCCATGAGACCTAAGTGAGTCTTCTGGGAAGCTTCCTGTAAAGGTTTCTTTACTCTTCAAAGAGAGGCCAGGAAGAAATACGGCCCTTCTTCAGGGAGTTGTCATGCTGCGGGGAGGGTGTGGAAGGAACCTCGTCTGAGGACACTGGTGTGCCCAGAGGGCAAGATGGGATAAATCTGGCTCCCCTGATGTTACAGAATCACTGGATCAACCAATCTTGCAGCTGGCCTTCCTAGGCATTTCTTGTAATATGGGATGACCCTTTTTTATTACCATTTAGGCCATCTTAAGAGCTTATTCCCCCCTGCAAAAATACCTTGATTCAAAAAGGGACTATATTAAAACTGGATATTCTCTACAACTGTGGGTTTTTTATTTACATGGACAGTCTATGAAGAGAGATATTTTTAGTCTTTTAGTTTTGTTTTGTTCTTTGTTCAATATTGGGAGTTACAGACGTGATATCACAAAGTAAACACTAACAAATTTTTGAATGAATAAATGAACATTTTCTTTTGAACCCCCATTATCTAGATCAATCATTTGTTTTTCCTTCTGAAATAAATCCCCTTAAATCTACCATAAATATGTTATATGTGGTAATATACATACTTTTAAGAAGTCACTCTGCATTTTATAGTTAATATGGCAAATATAACAAATAATGACAATTATTTTCAGCTTCTTAATAAGTTTTTCATGAAAACTAAAATTTCAAAATCTAAAACCAGAAGCATTTTGCAAAGCAAATATTCTGGTCACAATTAAATGTTATATATATGATGATAATGGGTGTTTTTCTAGAAACAATGTACTAATTATTAGTACTTACTCCAAGAAATATGTTTTTGGAAGAGTCGAATCCAGCTGCGAATATTCGTGCTGTGTAAGGTTCGTTCCTGTCACAGACTATCCTGCAGGCAAACCTAGATATGGTGCTCTGTGTAATCTGCGCTTCATCATTGTTCTGACTGCCAGAAATTGTGTCTGTAACGACGAAGTCGATAGGGCTTTCTGTTGATCTGCCCACCTAAATAAATCAAATTATAACTCATGATCCACTCATATCCAAAAATATGTCACCATATTCATCATATTAAATGTGTTCAGGATCCTTTAATATTCATTATTTCTACTAGGAAGGTTAGAATAAAAAATCTTAAATCTGCTCCTTCTCTTGTTTAAGGGTGATGTTATGGTAACCAACCATCAGATTTTAAATGTTAAGAAAAAAGCTCCATTTTCTATTCTGGAAGAAAACACATCTCATCCCAAACAGCTTTATGATCAGGTAGAAACATAATTTATTACTGTCATAGAAAATCATTCCTTTTTCCCCTCTTGTATTTCCAAGTGAAAAAAAAACAAAAACAAAAACAAGATTTTAAAGGCAGCCAGCAAACTAAAGCCCTATTTCCCCTACTGTTGCCAGGCTGCAGACCCCAGGGCCTGGTTTTTTACACTGAGTGAACCCACCTGTGACTCACGGCACAGCGCACAGCCCTACCCCAGACTTAAGAGACCCCGTGCCTATTTCCCTTCCTCTGCGTAAGTGAGAACAGTGTAAAAGGCTACACAAGTCAGCCCAAAGCTTGAGACAGTCATATGAAAGGTTTAAAAATGCTGGTCACAACAGTTCAATCTTGAATTTTTAAAGAATTATCCTGGCAAGGTGTAAAAAGCTGACAATACTTTATTGGCTTACTTCCTTGTTAAGTTTAAATGCTGCCAGAAAGAATATATTTCATTAGCATGATTTTCAGAGTTCCAACAAAGCTCTTCATATTCACTAAATCCAAATAAGACAGGTACTGCTGTGTCCTGGGAAATATTTGTTACAGGTAAGGAAGGCCTCATGACAAAATACTAAATTGTCTATGTAATGATGTTCTATGAATCTCTAACTAGGAAACAGTAATAAATGTTACATATGTCTTAAAAAAATTTATATGTCAACAATATCTTGTTAAAGATGATATTAATGTTCTCTCCTAACGGCAGTGCCTCTGATTCTGAAGCTGTCAATGGAAGGAACACACGGAGCTCCAAGGTACATACATATATAAGGCCCCCAAATTCAATTTCCTAGGTATCTTTATCCTGATCTCAAAATTCTATCTAAAGCATAAGCATTGTAAAAAAACAAACAGACATCTATTTTCTCTCTCTTTTTTTTTTTTTTAACAATGCTTAATTTCTTGTCCTATTAAAATGTTCCTGGAATAAACTAAACCACCAGGTTCACTGAAACTTAAATAGATGCAATTTATCCTAAACATACGGATTTCAGGTTTAGAAAACATACACCTTTTTACAAACTGCAACATAAAATTTAGATTATAAACTTTACAATTCAGCTTTCTCAATCAACTTGCAGAATCTTCCCTCTGCTAGATTCACTGAAAAGCTGGCTGTGTAACTCAGAAGCTCTACTGATTCAGATTGCTCTGATTTTTTTCAGGCTTTTTTTTTTTTTAAACTACTCTCCTCAGCTACTTTCAAGTTTATAATACAGTATTATTAACTATGATTACCACGGTGTATATTACATACCCAGAACTTCCTCATCTCACAGTTGGAAGCCGGCAGTGTTTGACCAGCATCTCCCAATCCTGAACCCCCTGTAACTCCCATTCTAATTTCCATTTTTATGATTCTGAATTCTTTTCATATTTTACATATAACTGATAATTTGTCTTGCTGTTTGATTTCACTTTAATTTTTTTTAATTAGAAAAGTAACAAATACACTGCAAAATATTTTATAAATATAGGAAAGTACACAGGAGACTATGCCAAGCTCAGGAGTAAAATGTGAAAATTTCTAAAACTGCCAGGTCATCACACGAACCCCCGAGCTCTCACAAAGACACAGGCCATGACCTAATTTCTGTCACCTCTGTGGAAGAGGGCAAAGATCTCACGCTCTGTTAAAAGCTCAAAGCTAAATCCACACTCCAGCACAGCGTCACACAACTGTTCCTTGTCTACAGAGATTACTGTTTTCAAGAAAGGCCATTCCCCATGTATTAAATTAATGTCTTGATGAATTAACTGAAATTGCCTGTAAAACATGACATTTTATGCCAACTGGAACATACTGCTAGGATCAATTATTTCAAGTCAGGATACTTACCTGAGTGGTCATTTAGTATTTATCAGTTCCCTTCCACTTAAATCTAACTTGTAGAGTGTTAGTATATTTCTATACTTCAGGACACAAACCTCATGTTGCCAGAGGTGGGAGGACTAGGCCACTTTCCTAATGAAAACTCACCTAATGTGGAAGACTTGGAGCCTGTCCTTTCTCTGACTGTTGGATCCATCCTACATTACTTTAAGGTTAGTCATGTGGACCAGCTGATGTATTTGAATTCCATTTTATATTCATATAGTAGGCACAGGGATAATTTTTCTCCCTGCTGCTGACCGATACACACGGCATCATATGGCACTTTCAGTTGTGTATGCATATGAGAAAAGTTTGGGTTTGCCTGGTTGTCAGTCAAAGTCAGTACAGGTAAAACGGTATAGAAACACCTGAAAGGGCCTCCTCTATCTTCTCTGGACAAATCAATCCTACCTGTGCCCCTGTGTCTGTAAAATTGTTTTCTCACTTCCCTCCAATTACTAGGATGAGCTATTGCTGCTCCTATCCACAACCAATCTCTCCATGGGTGCTAGGCAGCCCAGTATTGTGCCCTTCCCAAGGATTTTGCTCCTGATGTTGGCCCCTTGCTCTGCTGAATCACCCATTTCTCTCCTAACTGGATCATACGGTCCACTATCAAACATTCTGGAGCTTCTCAAATTCTGGGACTGTGAGGTAAAGGATTAGTTTTTTTTGGTTTGCTTTTAAAATTTCAACCTGTCACTTAATCTCTTTTCAAAATATAACAAAAATCAGTATTAGAAAAATGATTATCCACTTCGATGTTTCAGGAATGTCAAACCACTATTACAAATTTCCAAATGCATTCCTTCCCAACTTCCTCACTCACCTCATCCTTGAAGTTTCGCTGCTTGGCTAAGCAGCCTGAATAGCACTGTTCTAGACTAGTCTCTCATTTTAAAAAAATGCTTTCCTTTGTTGGAAAGCAATTCTCAAACTAGAGCTCCATTTCTCTGATTCTTTCTACTGGTAATACTTCCTGAAAAACTTCTCACTAGTTACTACCTCTGTTTCCTTACTCATCCTGTAACCCACTCCAGAGCCACTCCATCATCATGCTCTCAGCAGGCCTGGCTCCACTGAAACCCTGCTTGCTAACGTTTCCAGGGCTTACACTCAGCATGTCCCGGTACATCTGTACCTGGTATTAAGTTAATGAAACCCTTCCAGGCTAGTTGGTAAACAGCCCCTTTCTCTTTCTGTTCTCTCCCCAGGTTATCTCATCAAATCCCATTTATTAGCCCCCAACTCCTGATCTCTCTCTTTGCTTCAGTCTAGCATATATGATCTCCATGTGGATATCTAAGAAACATCTCAAATATAACATGTTTCCAACAGAACCTGAATCCTCTTCAAGCCCTAGTGACTGGCACCCAGTTTGCTCAAGCTAAAAATCAACACCCACGAGTCACCCTTGATTCTTCAATTTCTCCACGCTCATGTTTAACCTCATGTAAATTCTATCAACTCTTCCTCCAAACACATCTTCAGTCCTTCCACATTTCCCCACCTTAGCTCTAGCTGTCATCAGCTCTTTCTTGGTTTGCATCACCTCAGCCTCCAATCTTTCTCCCTGTTTTCACACTTGCCTCCTACATTCTTCTCTGGACAGTCCTTGGAGATATCTTAACCAAATGGAAGTAGAATTTTCTCTCTTCCTTGTTAAAAAATCCTCAAACTCTTTACTTGGCCTAAAAGCCCCTTACCCTCTTGGCCTCTGCCTACCTCTCTGAGTTCATCTCACACCACTTCCTTCCTCCTCCACTCTGCTGTGGGGCTTTGGCCCTGCTGTAGTGCTTGCTTCTCTGTGTCTCTCTGTCTACTCCAGAATCTAGGTTCCATGAGAGGGAGCCTTAACCTGTCCACCTCCAGTGACTAGATGAGGATCTGACATGTAGTAGTAGGTGCTCAAGAAATAAAACTCATTAATGGAAGGTTATGACAATGAGCTTGAACCTGGTGAGCCACATACACAAACATGCATACACATGTATAATGTTTTAGGAAATAATTTTAAAACAGTCTAACATTTTTTTCAACTACATAGATGCTAATGAAATGTTACTATCTAGAACTACTATAAACCAAATAAAAAAAACAAAAAGCCCCATCAAAACACAAGACATTGCAGCACTTAGGTGTGGAGCATATGAAACTTAGAAACCAGAGGGGGAAATGACCACTAACACTGGTTTCAGGACCTGGCCAGTTTCCTTACCCCCATGATCAGAATGTATCTGGCATCACTGCCTTTGATTCCTTTTCTAAACTGTATTCTTTATATTCTACTTTCTCAATACCTATGCTCATTTCTTGTTCTTTTATTTACCCTTATTCTAGAAAATAATGACTAAGATCTTATTCTGACTATATTAACATATTTTATCAGTCTTAACTAATTTCTTATATTTAGATCTAGGTTTGACTTTTTCAGACAATAATATTTTTGACTTCTGAGCCTATTATCTGAGTCCACTATTGGAAATGCAGTAAAAGGCCCTTTCTTGATTCATTCTGATGTTCTGCTTTTAAACATTCAGTTAACCTACAAATCAGTTCAATGGGTAGTAGCTGAACAGCCCTCAGCAACAAGGTCATACTTGAGAAATATGAATGCTGCAATGCTTTTGCTCAGTGATTTCTGTCAGTGGTAGAATTTAGACACATAAACTTGTTAAAAGGAGGAAAAAAAATAAGCTTGATTATTTTTTTAGGGCCTTCTAAGAGTTGTTTAACTCTACTCAGATTAATCTGACATTAATCTCCAGTATGTCCAGTTAGTCTGCAAAAGGAATGAGATTATTTCAGTAAAAATAACAAATGAGTTATGTCTTCTTAATAAATCTATAAATTTTTGTTGAATTACCATGCCTTATTTAAAGCAGTTGAGTAGGTATTACGGAGAGAATGGAGAACTGAGGAGACTTAAATCTGTGTTCTGCCACCAATGCCATTTTTGCCCAATTAAGGTTAAGTTCTTTCTTTCCAAAGATAAAAATTTCTCAGTTATAAAATTAAGAGGTTAGTATAGTAAAATTCGGTACTTCTCAGTGTGATCCATGAACCTCTGAGGGTCTTCAAGACCTTTTTAATGGGCCCAGGTCCTTGAAACCAAAATTGGTTTTATAATAATATGAAGATGCTGACATTTGCTCTTTTGGTGACAAAGCAATGATGTGATTTAGTGAGAATCAACAAACAGTCCACTCAAAAAGCAGGCGGAGGACCTAAGTAGACATTTCTCCAAAGAAGTCATACAGACGGCCAAGAGGCACATGAAAAGATGTTCAACATTGCTAATTATTAGGTAAATGTAAATCATTTATGTACACTGAGATATCTCACGCCAGTCAAAATAGCTATCATCAAAAAAATCCACAAACAATAAATGCTGGAGAGGGCATGGAAAAAAGGGAAACCTCCAGTATTGTTGGTAGGAATGCAAATTGGTACAGCCATTATGGATAGAGTATGAAGGTTCCTTAAAAACTAAAAATAGAGCTACTATATGACCCTGTAGTCCCACTCCTGGGTGTATATCCAGAGAAAAACATGGTCTGAAAGGATACATGCACCCCAGTGTTCATTGCAGCGCTGGTTACAACAGACATGGAAGGAACTTAAATGTCCATCGACAAAGAATTGGATAAAGAAGATGTAGTACATATATACAATGGAATATTACTCAGCCATTAAGAAGAATGAAATAATGCTATTTGCAGCAACATGGATGGACCCAGAGATTGTCGTACTGAGTGAAGTAAGTCAGGCAGAGAAAGAAAAGTATCGTATGATATCGGTTATATGTGGAATCTAAAAAAATGATACAAATAAGACTTAAAGAACAAACTTACGGTTACTAAGGGGGAAGGATGGGAGGGGAATGGATAGTTAACAGAGTTTGGGATCAACATGTACACACTGTTATATTTAAAATGGATAACCAACAAGGACCCACTGTATACAGCACAGGGAACTGTCCTCAGTGTTATGAGGCAGCCTGGATGGGAGTAAAATTTGGGGGAGAAAAGATGTATATATAACGTATGTGCTTAGTTGCTCAACTGTGTCCAACTCTTTGCCACCCCGTGGACTGTAGCCCGCTAGGCTCCTCTGTCCATGGGGATTCTCCAGGCAAGAATACTGGAGTGGGTTGCCATGCCCTCCTCCAGGGAATCTTCCCAACCCAGGGATCAAACCCAGGTTTCCAGCATTGCAGGTGGATTCTTTACCATCTGAGCCACCAGGGAAGCCCATGTATATGTATATGGACAATTGAGTCCTTTGCTGTCCACCTGAAACTATCACAACATCGTTAATTGGCTATCCTTCAATACAGCTGGCTCTAAAAGTCTCTGTTCTTGTTTTCAGAGTCTCTCTTTATTGCACTGAGATCTGAGAATGTAGTCTTTATAATTTCTTTTTGCAATTTTAGAACTGTTTTCTTAGTCTTTTGAAAACCAAGCAGGAATAATTTTAATATTATCTTCAACTTTTCCCCCTTGGACATCACCAAACACTATTGTGCCAGGAGTTCGGACTATGTTTCAAAATGAAGAATCGAAGGAAAAATGTAAAAATTTCCATGAAAAAAGAAAGATGTTACCTGAAACATATCCGTATCTTTATCATGTGTGTACTCAACCACCACAGTCTGATTCCTTGACAGAGTGTACGATATACTGTGTTGACCTTTGCAGCTGATAGCCTGATAGTGAAAGAAAAATATACAAAAATTCATTAAAATTTCAACTTACCACAATTCTGCTTATAGTTAAGAGACATCACTTTATCAGCAAAACCCAGCACAAGCTAGTGGTTTCCTAAAGACCAGAGCCTGATCCTGCTGTGCCCTGAATTACAGAAGAGTCAACAGTCACAAGACTGGATTTACCAAATATTCATCTCTAATAGGAACAATATTTTACTTAAGTCAAATCAAAGTCAATTTACTAGTTTCCAAGCCCTGATTTAATCACAGCCCTAGAAAAACATACACTTTCTCCATGTTACCTTAACTTAGTAATAGAATTTTTCAGACTAACATGATTTAAAATTTCTTATTTCACAATGAAACAGGTAACTCAATAACATTTTGTAATGGTATTTTTCTATATGATAGGGATTATAATGAGAGTAAAACAATCATTGAAAAAAGTAATTAAAACTTTCATATAATAATGCACTATTTTAGCCAATGATAATTATACGCTGATCTTCATCTTATTTAAATCTTGTATAAGCAGTTGCTTAACCCAGATAGTTTTTGAGTTAATAAAAAAATGTAGCTAAGTTAGTTTTATCACCTCTATTTTTAGACTAGACTAAACATAATAGCCTTTGGTTTAGTGAATCTAGAAACCAATAATACAATATTGTTCTAGAAACCAATAATACAATATTGTTCTTTTTTCCTCCATAATGATATATTTCACTACATCTTAACTGTGGTCACATACTTTTAAATTTCCAAGCTAACAAAAGAGGCTTATTTAAATTCTACCCCACATTATTTCAATTACACTGTCCATTCTACTTCAACCTAATTTAACTTCATTTCTAATGTTTTACATTAAATATAATAAATAAAACTTTTATAAGCTTATCTATTAAACATTTATTGAATGATCACACTGTAGAAAGGCCAAGGAAGACTAAACATCTGGAAGTAGCTAGACACATATATAGCACATTAATGAAAATGTACTCTGAACATTTACATTTAACTAATACAATTGCTTATAGTAATAAATCATATAAGATTCCAAATCAACTTTGAAGTTAGCCTGGTTAACCTCATGGTTATTTAATCAGCTGCCCTCCAGAACGTCGTCATTGAACTGATGTTTTGTTGTACATGCGTCATGAAGATAATGCAAGTATTAGAAATAATAATTTACATTTAATATTATTAGGGATCTAAAAAAATGCTTTTTAGATTACTCAACTCCAGTAATAAATACAATCTTAAATTTTCATTGCTCAGTCACATGAAATCAGTGGTTATTGATACATGACATTTTTTCAAAATCGAATTAATAAAGAACTATTTCCAATTAAAATAAGTGGATGTTTATAGTTAATTGAAAAAATCCACTTAAAATATTTTATAAGCTCAGAGTTACAAAACTGATAACCAGGAGGTGATTAATTATACACTAACTTATTTACGGATTCCTTAAAAAGTATCTATTGCATTTAAGTTTTCCACTTGCAAGTACACCAACTCAACTTTTTTGGCACATACGCTACACAAAGTAACTGTAGTTTGCAAATTATCTGCAAAAGGAGTTAACAAACGCTGGAACAGAATGCCTTTAAAAAAGTTGGACATTTTTGTATGATGGTGCCCTCTTTAAGTACAGTGTTTCTCAAACTTACACCAGAGTTGCCTTAACTGGAGGAGAGTTATGTGACCCCTGGGAGAGTAGCCCGGAAGTGAAACTTCTCATGCTTGAAACATTTTACCTCGAAAGCGGTCTGAAGTTTGTACTCTATTCTTTTGACATGCTGTAGTTTTAACATTTAAACATTTCTTACAAGTTTGCTGGGAAATCAATGCCCAGGAAGACCTGCTGTGCTCACCCCATGACCTAGGCTTCCGGGCCACTCTGGAAAGTCCTGGAAATAGGCATTTTACAGGCCCTAAGTTGCTTCTGGGCCCAGTTCTTCTAGAGTGCTTATTCTAAAACTACTCCTGTGACCCAGACTATCATGAGAGAGAATAAGGCTATTTATAGAGAGAGTGAGCCCAGTGCCACACCTGGAAACAGACCAAAACCAGGGAAACCAAAGATCTAGACCAGCCCCTGTCGGAGGGACCCCAAGGCTTTAAATGCTGATTCAGGACACCTTGAATGATGAGCCCATTTAAAGACAAACTACAATTTCAGACTTTCTCCAGTTTCCCAAATGTGGCTATAAATGTGGATCACCAGTCTTAGGAAAGGTGAATGCTTTGAGCATAGGAAAACACATTTTCTGAGACTATTTAATTAAGAAAGTTTTAAACACAAGCTCTGTTTTGGAAGTCTCTGGATTTGGGGAAGATGCAGAAGTGGGAAAAGAGATCCAACAAGGTGGAACAAGTCCCAGAAGGTGATGAACTCCCCACTGTGGTGGAGATGGCTGAGGAACTTCAGATCCCTGTGACCTACCTAAATCACTTCCTGTCTGGCAGGGGTCTCCCTCTGTCAGTGGTAAGTGGGGAGGGGAGGCCTTCCTACAAAGAGCCCCACCCAATAGGCTGTACCTACAGCGGGGAGAAACATAAAGATAAGTTGGCCCCAGAAGACTGGATTTAAACCAGGACTGAGGTTTGGAGCAAAAGGGGGCAGTCAAAACCCGGGCCACCTCTGGCCACCAGTGGCACCCCAGAAATAATGGAGGGCCACTTGCCTTTGATGCCATGAATCAGGGCTCACATGATTTTGTGCATTCAAGCCTAGAGTCAGACCAGACTTGGGGGTTTAAGGGAAGGTAAGAGAGCTGTTTAATAAACTTGGCACTAGTTTTTGCTTTCTCTCTGCATATGAGACATTAAACTTTTCTGGGGTTAGAAAAGTATCATTTTCTCAGCAGTAATTTTAATATTTAAGATATGGCTCTCAGAAAGACAGTTTCTAGTAAGTTACAGATTTACTGACTTGAATCAATCACGTCAGATGTTTTGGAAATAAACATTTTCCCCTAGGCACCGAGTTGCTTTGAGATCTATTTTTGAAATATCAGAAAGGAGAGTAGGTAAGGCTGGCTTTCTCTTGGCACTCAATAGAATTCAGTACAAACACAGTTATTGTAATATAATGTGATTTCACTACACTCATTCAAATACAGAGACCAAGATCTTTAAAATGGTAAGGGGAACCAGCCCAACCAACCCGACTGGCAGACAATACTGACCTACCATATTCGTTCTTCTATTGTGATGGAGAAGCAAGGTGGCTGACACCCTCTCAGGTTACTATCAGTGCCTCAAAGACAGGTCTGGTCTTCTGTGGTCTCCACCCCCAGCACTGAGAGCATGGCAGGCATTCAAGGAAGGTTAGATGAATGAATAAACTGCTACAGATTCAAGATGATACTTGGAGTGTCTTTCCTTGAGTCTTCTCCACCTCTCCTTTACCTTTCATTAGCAAAGGTGCCAACACTGACACTCTCAGCTCAAATTTATTATGTGAGAATTTTTTTTCAGGTTAAAAAATATCAGAATTTGACACTTAAAGGTTAGACAATTACAGATCCAGAGAATAAAGGATTCCAACTTTATCCAGCTTAGGAAGTTATGCACTGCTCAGATGCCCAAACCATGGCCCTTTCTGAGTCAGGACTCTCTATTCCCAGCTGAAGACCTTTACTTCTTGGGTTCAGCCCTATTTGTGTCACAGGCTCAGCTCAGCTGAGTTATCCGCTGACATCCAGGCAACAGCCACGGTTGGTCTTCCTGGTTCAGCTCCCACTAAATGACAGAGTCCTCCAAGCCTCCAGACTTTACAAAAAAGTTTAAAAAAAAAAAAAAAAAGAAGGTCCACAATGTCTACAGAATTGTCTTCCTCTTATAAGCCCCTATATACATATATGGTAGTTTAGTCACTAAGTCGTGTCCGACTCTTGCGACCCCAGGGACCGTAGCCTGCAGGCTCCTCTGTCCATGGGGTTCTCCAGGCAAGAATACTGGAGTAGGTTGCCATTTCCTTCTCCAGGGGATCTTCTTCACCCAGGGATTGAACCCAGGTCTCCTGCACTGTAGGCAGTTTCTTTACCGACTGAGCTACCAGAGAAGCCCTATATACAAGCTTTTATAAGGCACTTATAAAGATATGTGGTGTTGGAGAAGACTTGAGAGTCCCTTGAACTGCAAGGAGATCCAACCAGTCCATCCTAAAGGAGATCAGTCCTGGGTGTTCACTGGAAGGACTGATGTTGAAACTGAAAGTGCAGTACTTTGGCCACCTGATGTGAAGACTCATTTGAAAAGACCCTGATGCTGGCAAAGATTGAAGGCAGGAGGAGAAGGGGATGACAGAGGATGAGATGGTTGGATGGCATCACCGACTCAATGGAGATGAGTTTGAGTAGATTCTGGGAACTGGTGACGGACAGGGAGGCCTGGTGTGCTGTGGTCCATGGAGTCGTGAAGAGTTGGGCACAACTGAGAGACTAAACTGAACTGAACTGAATAAAGATATGTAATATGTAATGATATCAGAAAGGCAATTCTGCAAGATGCCTAACGAGATGGATTCATGTATTCACGGAAGCCAAAGAGCTTTCAATCAATTTTTTAAAGTATAAGGGAAATAATCTAATCTTTTATTAAGAAGCAGTGGGATTGGGGTTCAGTCACAAAGTAAAAGAGAAACCAACTGGTTTCTAGAAAATACTAATTTATTAGAGTTACAATTTAGCCCATTTAATTCAAGCCTTATAAGGCTGCTAAGTGAGACTTTGGAGAAGGCGGTGGCACCCCACTCCAGTACTCTTGCCTGGAAAATCCCATGGATGGAGGAGCCTGTGGGCTGTGGTCCATGGGGTCGCTAAGAGTCAGACATGACTGAGCAACTTCACTTTCACTTTTCACTTTCATGCATTGGAGAAGGAAATGGCAACCCACTCCAGTGTTCTTGCCTAGAGAATCCCAGGGATGGGGTTGCACAGAGTCGGACACGACTGAAGTGATTTAGCAGCAGTAGCAGCTAGTGGTCCAGT